TTTTCGAAGTTTTCTTCCCATTTAGCTGATAAATATATATTTGATAGCCTAAGTTCAATACATTTAAAACTGGTCTGAGTGAATATTTAGGATAACAGTTGTGTAAATTCTGGTTAAGCTAATTTGATGTTAAAATGTTGCGAAATTATTAATCAGCGGATTTATTTGATGAGGTATTAAATGATTTAGAATAAGTCGACAACGCCCCCTAAATAAGTACTTGATACGTGAAATAATGAAGTATTTATGATTTAAAGGGATCTCACATATATATTATGACACTTCATCAGTTAACTGTTTAGAAGCTCTGAGGAAATTCGAGCCGGACAGCTACCCGAACCTCCTGGCTTCAGATATCGCCATCATATTTCTATTTATCACCTGAATTGCCGACATCATAAATATCAGCCGATAATATCGTCAGTACGCTTCTATAGTGTGTCATTTCATCCAAGAATATAAAACGGCGACTTTTTGCCCAATTAGTCGATCTTTGGGTAGCATGGTGAATGTACCACCCCTCTAGATAAAAAGCAAGGATTGACTTGCTAGCAGACATCACATATATATTGTTTTCGTTTCAGTCTGACTCGAGATTACAGGGTACGGGATACACAATGGTACGATGCTGAAACGTCTGAACTAAACGTAAAAATACACAATAACTGGGAAATTATACTATTAATAACATGAGAAACGCTGCTTTCACGGCGCTTGTCTAGATCAGTTTGCGTTGTTATTTGACTCAAATAGTGAGTTTACATATTAAGTAATTGTAACCATGATGTTTTTTTCTCTTTGAATTCTGCTAAATATAACTAAATATAACTGTGCCATTTTGCAGTTCTTGTTGCTCAAACTTGAATAATCAAACCAAATAAATTCAGTATTCTTGAGATCCTCATTAAAAGTAATTTGTAGTGAAATAGTGTTATTATGGCTCAAAATAACTTGACCAGAAATAATAATTTCTCTTTTATCACCCTATAATAATGGATCCCGTGTATATGTATCTATTTAAAATAATGTCTTTCAAAAAATAAATCATATGCGAATTACCTTAACAATTAAATGCTTTTGAAAACCCGCCTCTCTCTCTTTCATCTAACTCATCACTTATAAATCATTACACATCCCAAGAGATGATATATTGTATTGTCCTTAAACTAGTTCAACAATTCTTAAAGACCTTGACCTTATATCAATAAACATTAACACATTTACATTGAAACATATAATTAACCTCTCCTTTACAACTTTTTCAATCCTTGGATTTAGATACTAGACTATATAAGTACATTGCCAGAAGTGGAACGATTTAATTTAAAATTATATAAATTGATTTTTTATTAAATTTTTGACTGATTCCTTTGAATATAGAAGTACGAGTACATTGTAACTTAACATTTTAACTCTCCAATCATGATTTAAGAATTGGGAATGCTGCATCAATTGTGTACGGTTTGAACTTCAAGTAAATGTTCAAATAGAGATTATCAGTTATAAAGTTTATTTCAGGTGTTTATACCTATGGCCATGGGATAAAGTTTTTCGTCTTGTCACCCTACTTGTCTTCATCTATCATCTTTAATAATAATTAAAAAAAACATCTCCAATGCGATTATAAACGCCAAAACCAGAAGCTTCGAACTATTTTTGCTGTTATATATAGTGCTTTGCGAAAGCAACAAGTTTAACCCTTTTCAATTTTATGTCATGATTTATGTAAACTGCCTGGAAAAAACAGTAAATCTAGTCCACCAACGCAGATCAATTTGAAAATACCATTTTATATTAATCACAGTCTTAATGTACAGTCTTGGAGAAAACATCTAAAACGACCGCTTTATTGCCTTTATAATTACTTTAATTTGAGGGTGACGAAAAAAAGGGGGAAAAAGAAAGTAATTTCACACCATGAGTGCTTATTTCTACCGTTTCTTCTTTTTTTATTGTGTTAAGCACAATTGTTAGGGCGATCATATTTTAACGGAAAATGAAGGCCAAACGTAAACAATAGAATCGGTAGCAAACTCCGTAATGATCCGAAATGACACGGACAAAATGTAATGTTAGAATCTATGCGTTAGAGGCTAAAAGCCAGATAAGAGAAATTATTTAGGATAAACAATTAGCGTGAAAAAAAACCCGCCTTTATGTCTTGTACTGAGTTACATATCAAATATACCCTTAGGGTTAAACACTAAATCTTTTTTTACGTCAAAAAAGTCTGCTTCCGTATAAGACCCACCGTGAATAACTTTCTGTAAATAAGGCTGACATTCACAAGTCGTGCTTGATTTTCATTCAGAAGCATGATTTGGTTGTAAAAAAAAAGATATTCCCCCGGCTATCAATAAACAAAATAAATAAGTTTAGGCTTCATTTAAGACCTCTCCGTTTTTCAGTCCACACTACAAGTGGTTTTTACAACCCTCTTTCGACCCGGGGAGTCGTTCATAAAAATTGTTTTGATCTTGGGTTCTGTCGCATGTTAGCCATTTCATGAAAAATATTTTTTGACTGTGCTGTCATTTCTCCGTAATCTTATACATATAAGAGCTTCTAACATTCACTTTTAATTCATGACATATGTACAAATAATTTAATTCACTTGCCAGTTTCCTCTTGTTCAGACTTCTGCAACTAAATTGTCTTTTTTTATTTTCACTTGTTGCTTCTTTAGAAAAACTGAAGAAAGTTTTGTTCAAAATTTAATGTTTACATTTGCAAATATTTTCTTTAGATGAACATATTGAAGAGCAAATATGTTCATTTCTGTATGAACTTATGAGGGAGTCAGAGGTCATAGCGTCATCGAATCACCGATGACAGGATTTAATCAAGTGACCAACCAAGTTTATTTCCTAGTGAACTATTTGTCCCCCGCTTTTGCGAAAGCTATGGGACATTAAATCTCGTTCATCTGTCAATCTGTCTGTCTGTCCTTCTGTCAGTCTGTCACAAAAACTTTAACCTTGGTCATAACTTTTGAATGAGAAAAGACAGTGCTTTCATATTTCACATGTACATTACCTGAGACAAGACCTTTCCAAATATTCCCATGACCTTTAATTTTCACCCAATTTTCAAAAATTTTAACATTAATGATATCTTTTGAATGAGATAAGAGAGAACATTTTAATTTGAAATATGCATTACCTGTGAAAAGACCTTTCCAAATACAATAATTTTACCCCGTGACCTTGATGTTTGACCTAATTTTCAACACTTTTAACATAGCTGATAAATTTTGAATGAGAGAAGGTTATCTTTTTTATTTGACATGTGCACTACCTATTTCAAGACCTTTCCAAATGAACTCAGGTTTTTGATCTCCTGACCTTGACCTTAAGGTTTAACCTACAGTCTACTTCAAAGTTTTTGACATTGGTAATAACTTTTAAATGAGAGAAGATAGGCTATCATTTTTGCCTTCATGACCTTGACCTAGAAGTCTGACCTACCTATTAAAAATTAGCCTAACTTTTGCTCCAGAGGAGACAAGGTTTTCATATTTTTTTCACTTGTGCATTTCTTGTGAAAGGATATTTCGGATTGTTTTATGATATTTGACCTCATAACCTTGAGTTTGATGCACTTTTAAGAAGCTTTAATGAAATATGGAGATAACGAACAGTAATCAAGCTCAAAAGTCAGTTGAAACAATAAAATCGGGAGCAGGGCAAATACGGGCCTCTTAAAAGCATCCGAGGTGGGATCAGGATCCGTAGAGAATTCAGTGTGTAAATTAGTATGAAAAACGTCGGTCAGCATTCGACTTAATCTTTGCCGTAACTTATGTCCAATATGTTTAGATTTAGATCCTAGGTTAGAATTATTTGGTCATGCATTAAAAATTCCATACCTTTGAAAATCATTCTAGCATCTTAAATTCATATTGTCGCATGATTATTGTGAATAATTAGCCTTCTATCAAAATTGTTCATGTCCCTTGGTCCACAATCAAGGCCCCAGGATGGGACTAAATTGACCATATATTTTGGAAATACAATACACCTTTGAAAAAAATCTTAACTTAAGGACGTCTGTCTTCGCAAGCCAAGTGTTTTCTGTCCGCTTTGCTCTGAACACTTGGCTTTGGAACATTAAAGACATCTAGTCGGCGACCTGGTTGATTATAAGCACGCAGTTAGCCCTCTGCCACAGTTGTAAAATTCATGACCACTTGGTTCATGCTGAAATGTAGGATTTATCAATAAGCTGAACATAAATTGAAAATTCATTACACAATTGGACATTTTTTTCATTCTTGGGCATTGCCTCTTGATTGATTATGTGTTTTTACGTCCCGTTCCAGAATTTTTTACTCATGTAGAGACATCACCATATACCGGTGAAGGGCTTCAAATTTAGACCTTTACTCGGCACTTAGGGCCATTGACCAGTGAGGGTTCTTTATCGTGCCAACGCCTACCGTGACTCGGGACCTTGATTTTTAAGGTCTCATCCGAAAGACCCGCATCTTTCACTCCAAAGAGCCGAGAGCTTGGCGAAGGAACAGTTGCTACCTATTTTTTATCGACTTTGATCAGTCGCTGCGGTGATTCGAACACACTATCTTCCGATCACGGAGCGAGCGCTCTACCGACTGAGCTACCGTGACGGTAAGCATTGCCTCTTGACCTGAGAGTTAAATGAAGTTTTCGTTAAGAAAACCTGATACTTTTGTTTTCTTTTGATTAAAAGTTCGGCATGTTGATATCAACCATCAAAAGATGTGGGACTTGTCATCATGCCTCTAGATCACATTCAAGAGAAGACCATAACCTTTCTATTTGCCTTTGAAGTGATAAGCTGTCTTGTTTAATACAACAAAAGCTCATTGTAGAACAAGAGAATTCTGCGGTTCCAATTTTTTGCAAATAATTCCTCTGCTGTAGATTGGACTACCACATGTACAGAGACCGTATCTCCTTTACCTACGTTATTCCCATTCTATCAACTTTCATTTTGAATTCATAAAAAAACTAGCTAGAGATTGTTGTATTAAATTTTATATCACCAATGATCCATCAAGCTGATTTAAAAAGGATCTGTATTTAACAAAATTAATACCAACACTCTTTCTTACTCTCACTTTCTCTCATTCATTCTATTTACCGAACTCGCTCAAAAGATGGTTATCTTAGGAAGGATCGGATAAATCTTCATTTTGCACATACCCATGGGAAACAATTACATCAAGATGGCAAAAAAATAATAAATTAAAAACACGTGAAATATAAGATATACCAAAATTAAAATCTCAAAACATAACATTATGCATAAATATGCGAGATGACGTCAGAGATTCATCTGGCGGCGACAAGTAACAGGTTACAACAATTAGGTCATCTTGTACCAAAAAGAGACAACGGGGACAATAATCAACAACTGGGTCAAGGTTACAAGGAACAATGTTATAAATATTACTAAGCAACAAATACAGGTAACATTTATTGGTGTGTATGACATCATTTGATATGTAATGATTTTAAACGTCAAATTGCATGAATTGTTTCTAGAATGAATATACGGACCAAAAATATTGAGGTTCGGTAGAACGTAGATTTGTGTTGACAATTAAAATCTTTCTGATAAAAATACATTATTTTACTTAAAATATATTAAGATATGATTTTCTTTCATTTCGTCTTTTCAAATTTACTTTCTCAAAGTTGGATATTCAATCTGTAATAAAATACAAAGCTTTTGTATTCCAAGTAATCAAACAACATTGTGACCTTTATCACAAACTCTCTATCCGCCCGCCCTCTTACATTTCCATTTGGAACACTTTCGCCATATTCTCTTAACAAGTGTACAAATATTGATTGAAAATTGATTTGATTTCATTTAAATGGCATAAAATTGCAATTCCGAACATAAACACAGAATAAGACGTACATTCCCTCTGCGGGCTATACTGAACAATATCAGCCCTTGGACCTTATATCACCATTTATGACGTCAGGGCTACAAACTGATGACGTATTGATATCAAAGACACATTACAAAAGCTACGATTTCCTAAAATGGACAGCTGATGATTGCTTTAACGAGTTTTTACAACATGTGATTTACGACTGAAGAGGTTTCAAAACAACTTGGGAATGTGTTGTACATAAATATTAGTCTTTGTAATAAATATATCACAATAGTATCATGGATACTAAACATATACAGAGCGCAAGAACAATAAAATCTCGTCTCTTCTTTCACCACAACTGAGTTCCTTTTCACAAGGATTTGACTTTGCGCCAAGTTCATTTCACAAGAGCGAAATCAAGCTCGGTAGCTTCTTATCATTGCTTAGTCCAATGTACCTCACAATGCCCGCCCAACTCTTCGTGTGAGAAAAACAGATAACTCAGGAAAGGAAATCAAAAAGAAAGCTGACTAATTTTAAAACCTGCAAATAACTTCTTTCATAGGCTACGGTTAGTGGTAAGATATTAATCTGATGGATATACCCAAACCAACCAATCACATGACTTGCTGAGCTAAGGATAATATATCAGATCAACCAATTAACATGCTGGGCAGCAGGATATAACCTCATCAACCAATCAAAGTGAGAGAGATATTCTCCACTAGCCAATCAAACTGTACGAAGTTTTACTACTGCCTAAAACTAGTGGAACATAAATTATTGCATAGTAACTTCAGCACTGACGCAGGACATGGTCCTATTGCAATATTCATCGCACGGGAAGAAAGCAAGACCTGTCTTTCCTAAGCAAAAGTAGGTAAAAATAAATAACCACTCATACGATGAGTTGATTCGACCTCAGTTCTACGTTTTTTCAGTCCCATCGGGTGGAGCATCCATTTTCCTTACGTCACAAACGTCATACCATTTCTGGTACCAAGGTCCAATTTTTTTCACAGAGTTTCTTATTTGTTTTTGCCTCGGGTTAAACAACACATTTTCCCAAACTATCTCATCCTTCAGAAAATAAACTTTTTTATCGTTATATGAGAAGTAAACAGCGTCCAAGTCGCTAGGCAAAGCATCCTCTTTTTCGGCAGGCGGAAATTCCTCCCATATCTTACGCTTGCGCACGCAGCAGCCTTTTGTTTGATCTTCTCCTTTTGGGTCATAAACGTAAACCTTAAAATGGAAAAATGCATATATTAAATGAAAGATAAAAAAACTGCGCAAATACAGCTTTCAGTCTGACTAAAGTTATCCAACCTACCATGTCGCCTTTGAAGAAGTATAAATTTCTGTCTCTCATGTCAAAATACACAGTGTCAATATTAGGGGGAATTCCATCTGTTTCTCCTGGTCTTGGTCCAAAGTCTTCCGTTATTAACCGGGGCCATCCGTCATATACTTGGTCATTCTCATTATCGTATTTGTAATAATGTTCGCCTGAAATTTGAATTTAAACTCTATTAATGAAAGCTAGTGCAGTAAAATTTGTCTAATCCGGACATCAATGGTTCCATAGAAATTGGTCGGATTAGACAATATTGTAAACAATTGAATTCACTGAAAGGGTATTAAATTTTACATTGTATTAGGCAATTTTTCAGAATACACAATATTCGGATTAAACAAATTTCACTGTGTATAATTTTGAGTAGAGGAAGTACTTAGTATGTGAATGAAAAATATTTCAAGTGTAGTATGCATAGTAATCATAAGAAATGATCCCTGACTATGAAGAACATTTCACAAAGAAAAGATTGAAATGTTTTGATTACTTTTGGTATCTTATTTTTTAAACTTTGAAATGCGCACCTTTGAAAAAATACGCTGAATCGGTGATAAGTTTTCCGGAGTAGTACCAGACATGCGCATAACCATCCACAAAATTCGGAACTCCTTTCCATTCTTGGGCCACGTACAGGGGGTCGCCGTACCGCGTTCTATTGGCGTGATTTTCGTACATCCAGTAGTGATTCTTTCGGAAGATATACGTATTGTAGATGAAAGTGCTATCTGGCTTTTTCCTTACCCAGTCGAAGATCGTATTAAATCGTCCTTTACAAACACCTGCAAAAAGCAAATGCCTCATCAAATCTAAACATTCCAAAACGTCTGTCATAATATTTAGAAAAAATTAATTATTTTGTGTCTTTTTATAAAGCGTAGTTTGGTCTAAGTTATTCGAGGAATTAAATGTCGACGCGGATGAATTCAGTAAGCTTGAATCTGCTCTCACATATGGCGCTATTTTTTTCTTCAATTTATCTTCCTTGCTTACAGATTATGTGAACTATTGTTTTCAATTGAGGTATCACAATTGCATTCTTGTGACATGCCTATATACTTGAAAGATGCCACAATCTGCCAAAGAGGTAAATTCCATTCATTGATATTATGAACTCCAGCTTAACGATAGCATCTTGGTACTAGTCAATGGAATTCTTCGACATTAAGCTTAGCGAGAGATAAAAGCGTAAGCTTCTAAGTGAACTAGAAGTAAGAGTTCTTAAGAAAGGAGGCTATCACCTGTTTCTGGGTACAACGTTTTGTTCAAGAAATTTGGTTATTTTGTTCCCCAAAACTTCCGTTCGAGAAGCGACGTATGTTCACAACAATCATCAAAACAATGTCTATGAGATCACATAGAGCGATTTAGTATCAGTAAATATCTCAAAATTAAATCAAATATTTAAAAAAAATCGTTTTGTCCATATATATATTCAGTTTATCTCACCACTTGTGTCTTTTAAGTCTGTATTTTCAGTTTTGACTGTTTATATAATTCTTTGAGATAGAAACAAATCAGAACTCATTATTCAGCATCGACAGATTTAGCTTTTCACGAAAGTTGGGATGAGAATTATATTCTCAATGTTCGATATCAGTTTCTCGGCTATATTTGACTTCTGCATAAAAACTTTGTTAAATACAGGGGGAAATGGGACATAGATACAGAGATGTGACCGAAGGCTAACGGTCAGCAAATTTACCCAACATAAGATCCACCTTAAAATATGAAATATGATTTTCTAGCAATAAACACATTATATAAAGGGAAAAAACAATACATATATATGCATATCCCAGCTATAATTTATAATGCAATTTCCTATAAAAATATACAGAGCTCTTCTTTTCCAGAAGTTTTAAATAGTCAAAAAATGACACTGATCGAACCTTCCTGTAAATATAGCAAATGTCATTTCTACTTGCAACAAGATTTTTCAAGAAAAGTCATTTGAAAATATAATAAAAATTTTGCAGTAGATTTAAGTAATATTAGACTTTGTTCTTCAAATAACCATCGTCTTAAATATAGTTTTGTAAAAAAAGAAAAAAAAAATGAAAGCCAGAAGAATAAAGCGATTGTACAATGTACCCAGGAGAACTTAGCGATTGTATAGTATACCCGGAAGTCCTAAGCGATTGTACAGTGTACCCGGAAGTCCTAAGCAATTGTACAATATACTCACCATAGATCTTCTGTACAGTTTTGCGGTCCTCCCATCCGAGTTCAAATCCCGCTGACGGCACCACATTTTGATGATAAATGGCGTACATAATGGAATACCCTTTGTCGGTATGGGCCAGACCCAGCACGTGCCCAATCTCGTGCACAGCCACGCGCAGTAGGTAGATACCGTCCTTGGAGATTGTATCAATGGATTTGTAGTCTTCCTCGTCATCAAAATGAACGTTCCTTCCACTCCAGGAATGAGCTATCTCACCGCCATGGCCGTCAAACTTCCGGCCGCAATTCTGATGTGGACCTAAGAAAGTAAAATAGAAAATTACAAGTAAACAAGACAATCAAACTTTTTTTAAAAATTTGTTTATCATTATGTATGAGCGTTTAGTTACTAGTATTCATATATTTATTCATATTTGTTCATTTTTTAAATTGTTTTCGTTAGGATATTTTTAGCCCCCCCCCCTCCCGCCATTTTTGAATATTAAATCCTTGTGTGGATTTCTCTGTTTATTTATTTGATTGATTTATTTATTTATTTACTGCCATCAATGATGTGTATATTTAAAACTCTTTCTGGTGTTGTGTTTTCAATGAGGGAAAAAAGAAAGTTTTTGCGGTGGCTGGTTGACGCCTTCTGTCCATGTCCGATTTTATCATAAACCGTACCAAGCTCTAGAAGAAGCAAAAATAAATATCTCTTCGCCTAGATACAAATTTACTCCGAATATTTGAAAAAAAGGTGTTTTCTAAACAAAAAATACAACATGCAATGGCACAAGATAAATATTGTTCAGTCTCTTGGGCAGAAAGAATTAGAGCAGAATTTAAATGCATAATTTTTTTTACGGCGCAATTAAGTGTAAGGGCCCAAGATATACTTGAGCATTCGTTCGTTAAATATGCTGATATGATTGTATGGAATTCAATACTAATAATAATTCTAGTATGACGTATTCTGCCACAGGAATACTAACCCACTGACCTAGTAGGAAAAGCAGGACATGTACGATAGGCAGTGACCTCCAGAATACAAGTTGCAGAGTAAAATCTCGCTATGAACAAATCAAAACTCCATTTTTTAAATCGTATATTTTTTCTACAACAATTTTTTGCGTAATTCTAATTTCAATACACTATCTGTACAATATCTGGTCCCCCAAAAATCGACCAAAGAGCAACTCTAGCTTATAACAACAAATCACTGGACACATACGAAACAATCGAAGATTACTTCACACCAAAAATAAAATCAAAAACGATATGACATTTATTTTTGCAAAACGTTTTACGACAATAGTTTCGAATTATGGCAAACGTTTCGAAACGTACCCAAAAACATTTATCAGAATAAAGCGTCTACGAGACAAACACAGCAATGATCATAGTCCTGGAGACGATAAGGGACACTTTCAAAAGGATCAAAGCGAGTCAAAAATATGACTGACATTTTCATTATTATAATTTAAGTGTTCAAGCTAATTTGTTTTAACTAAAGCATTGCTGTCATCTGCGTATTTTCAAGAACATATTATTAATACAATTTCAACCTAGCCTGCATTTAATTCAATAACGTCAATTGGTTCCATAAACAGATTTAAACGAGACACTGCGCCACATTACTGAAACATATCTAGAAGGTGCACCGGAAGTAGCATGCGGAAGAAAAGAATAGGCATACTTGTCCTCTTTTGAAGAGAGAATGAACAAATAAGTAATAATTGATAGAGCTACTGCCATTCAAATGCTAGAGCAATTAAAAATAAATCTCTGCTAGTGGGTAAAATAACAATGTGTGTACAATAATCCTCCACATCAGAAAGGTGTAAACATGAAAGCGGCTGCTGAATGGTCTCTATACTACCTAACATCTAAGTTAATGTACGTTTTTGTTGCATTTACATCACATGCAATTAATGAAAATAGAGGCGTTGTCTGTAGCCTTCGTATACTAAGTAAAAGGGCGTTTATCTGTCATGCACTCTGACCGATATCTACCTCGTTCGATAATAAAAACATAATAGGGCCATTATCCCTTAAACATATAGATGAATGTCGTTAAAATCTTTTTTTATATTCTATACCTGACAAACGGATTTTTGTCAATGACGACATGTTACAAACGGCATATTATGTAATGATTACTATTGGGGCGCTCTCATTTGACGTTTAACACGGGTAGTCTACAGCTTTGAGTTTCCCATGTGATATACAAATAAGCGTATGAAAAAATCTTACAATTGTGAATGTGTGTATTTTGGCACTTCTGAAACCCTACGAACTTTTTCTCATGAAAAGAATACAAGAAATACAGACATGTATATTTTGGAACGATTTCTGTAGTATAGAACGTAATCTTGGCCTGTTTTTAGATGTAGTCGGTAAAACGATAAATATTACGCTCAAAACCGCAATTATAACATTATAGCTCCAATGGGGCGGGTATCGCCATCTTGTGGTAGAGCTAAGGGCGGAACGTGGTTTCCACATCAAAGAGTTCCCATCTCGATCTCGATCACAGAGACACTTAATTGGCAGGGGAATCTGCAAGTTGGTATTAAGGTCCCTAGTGCATCGATTTGTATCAAACAAATATGCTTGTTAATTCGAATTTATGTTATGCACTCTAGAAAATTGCTTTATCACTTTACTTACGTTTGAGTTAATGTATAAGCCTCACGCATCTAATATTGCAAAAATCATCCAGAGTTTACGAACTAATTAAATAATATTGAATAATTCTGCGAGTCGGTCTGGAAATCAAAAAGATCGGAAATGTTTAAAGTCTGCAACTGTAGTTTAAATAATTTATTTGAAATAAAACGATTGTGAATCCTGCATATACAGACATGATAATCAAAACATATGCATTTCAGAGACAATACATTCAATGTGCTTGTTTGCACAAAAGTGCATTATTCCAATAGTGATACAAATCACGACCTAGACTGTACCTGATAAACCAGAAGAATTGACAGGTAATGCCACAAAAAACTGTAATACACTTCAACTCTTAACCTTGACTTTTACTTTTTCCTATGTTTTTAAGAGTTTCGGAGAAAACATGGTGTTTCAGTAAAATTTTACTATGTATTCTGTTTGTGTAATTTGTTTTAAATTGTCGAATTGAGAAAATACATTCAAACGCGATCTTTAGTTGAACACAACCATATGATGTCAGATGACAATGAAATAAAACCCAGATTTAAGAAATATTCTAGATTTCAACAATTTTGTTCTTGTTAACCGCATTCTTCTAAAAGTACGTTTCGACACAAAAAATTTAATTAATGGGGTTTTATCTATTCGCCCCATACCTAGATATTATATGGTATGTATAAATCTAGTCCCCATAACGTGTATGACACTCAGACAGATGCTATACATGTGTTTACTTTTACATTCTCTTCGGCCCATTTAATTTCCGCGTTCTTGGAGTAGACCACCAAACAACATAATTAATAATTGTTACGTCTCAGTATGCGGAGTTCACATGAAACATAAAAGTTAACCTGCGCTCAAGTATTTGGAGATTATCCAGTGAATAACATATTCTATATATAATGTACAGGTATTGAGAAGTTAAACTGACTGTAAATTACCTCTTCCAAAAGCAATCTCTATGTCCACACTGTTTATGTCACCCTTAACATCCTCCTCAAATATAATAGGTATCACTTCGCTCCACATTCTGAATGCTAAACGGAGACTAGCTCTCTGCTCTTCCACCGGGATCCGGGTACTGAATCCATCCCTTAACATCCGCCACCGAATATAGTTCTTTGTGAACTTTTGCCCATCCCATACAGGTTCACCATTTAAAGAATTGTTTCTAATAGTTGCTATAATTGAACGTTTTTGACGTTCTTCTACAGTATATGGTTTCAACAGATCGTTTTTGTATTTTTCAGCGTATTCTTTAATATATTTCGTCCGTCGTAAGATATTTTTATTTCGAATGGAATCACTAGTAAGCACATTAATTAGCCTCGTCTGAGCGGCATGTCGACGCCAGCGCCGCCTGTTGACGGGCTCTATTAATGAAGTTTTAGAATTGGAATCATATAAGTTATCGTTACTCTCTTCTAAAACATCCGAAAACGCATGTTCATCTGGAGAATCTTTATCAGCGTTACCACAGCGTGACGTACTCATGAATTTCCTTGTGACGTCATCTAAAATTCCTGTAACCGGAAGTTTGTATTTGATTTGGTAGTCTCTGATGGCCGTGTTGACTTGCGATGCACTACACAATGGAAGATCTTCTTCCACCTCCTTGTCTGATAAAGGATGCATTCCCTCCATAACAACATCCATAAGCGCTGACCGACGCCTTCTTAGGACCCTACATTTTAAATAGCCATATTTTTCAAGCTGAATCTGCAAGATTAAAAAACAACAAAAAATCAGTTTTTATTCCGATAGGCACAATTATATGCAGATATAATAAAGATTTGTATAACAGACGCAAATATAGAAAGGATTAACATAAATTTACGATATCTGAAAGACTGCAATACTGAAGGTAGATTTGATGTTTATTTATGTATTTACACACACTTAAACTGCAACTGCCAAAAATCACATGGAGCACATTCTAAAATATCATTTTTAAAGTGGCTGTATTTTACCAAAACTGTACATGTATTTGAATTACAAATGTAGTAAGCATAATTCGTTCGAGTTCGAGTTTCACTGCTATAGGACAAGGTATTGACCTGGGACTACAAACTAAAGGTCATAACCCCTATTCACCTAGATAGTAACGTAATGATGTTTACTGGGATGGGTGATAATCATGGAGGCTAAAACATCCCCCATTCACATTTATCTGTTTTAAATTGATACCCGGTCACCTTCAATGGTGCTTTTAATGGACGCATTGTACCTGCCTCTCTTATTCACGCTGGGAGAAACTTGGAGATTAGACGGGATAATTGTTACAAGCTTGAGTCATTCGTTTAGAAGTTTTTAAGACTACACATCTCTTTCTTTTTTTGTGCGACTCATCTTTTTAGCAGGCGATGACGGTTCCCCGCGTGACGCCTTCCATCCCGTCCATCGACTAATACAAATGGAAACAAGAGAAAGCCTTCCATTAGGCGAGGTGGTAGCACCTCATTAGAATGTTTAGGTTTCCGCCGGTCATGAACCTGCCTTCGCATAAAACCGCCCTTTACCTACACCTCTTTGTTTATAGGTTCATACTTGATCTCGGACGATCCCTAGCGTGATCAATAAATTCCGTGCTGTTGCAGGACACGAATCTGATCTTGACTATCTTTAGATGATGTGCACAATGCCCAGTTTATTTTAACAAATATTTATCTACAAACGTTCCTAAAATTAGAACTTAATATATAAAACAAGCATTGTCTTCGGCAGGTGTGACATGAATACATTTAAAAAGGAGAAAATATATCAGTGGAAATCTCATCTAGAAAGTTGCATTTCGATTACATTATGCAGAATTTTGAAATTCTTTGTGTCACTCGGATTTAAAATCTTTAAGGTGGTATGGTCATCAGCAAAGGGAGATAACTCTATTTTTAATTAGTCACTAATTTCTTTATTTAAAAAATAATCTTCATCTATGATTTGTCAAATGCTGCAACGTATGGTAACCTAAAATTGCTTGAATTTCATTTTTATGTTAAAAATTGTCATGAAATATTAAAAAAAAAAAAAAAAAAAAAAAACTAGTGAGGGTCGTTTACCCTTAAGGTGATAGAGGTCAGTCATTCCTAGGGAGTTCCAGCGTCCAGCAGCTGAGTTATTATTGTGTGCTGGCATTTTATGCTGTAGACCGCATCACGTTATGCACTGTCTGTAGTCGTCTCTTATTGCATTCTACCCGCATCAGAAAAAGTTTTGCACGCAACCGACCTGTCACTTTAGCTTAGTATTGTTATGTAATGATTTAGACGGATCGACCCCCATAGTAGGGTATTGGGTTATTTCCCACTCTGTGGTGTCTAAATTCAAAAGAATGTCTGGCTCGAAAATCTTTTGTAAACTGAATATTTTACAGATTTTCACACTTCAAATGAAGTAGCTGCTAATCCCTACCACGTATAAGGTATATATATGTTCGCCCTAGAATGTTGACTTTATTCTTCTGAAATCAAATATTCACTTTCCTTTTCAAGGTATAAACCTTTCACAGAAACTTTCTACATGTTCGTAACTACACTGGAATAGATATCACGACTTTATAATTGCAAATATTACCATTTAATGCTTTTTTCATCAATAAATTTTATGTAAATGTATAAAATAGGTACATTTTATCATGGACAATAATTATAAATTGGTCAGAATTGGGAAAAAAAACCAAAATCTTACCTCCGCCTCTTTCCTATTTTGAATTATTGTCCTATGTTGTTCACGGTTGTATTTATTTTGATCCGAATGATCTCGAAATTGGAAAAATCGCTCTCCAGGCACCGGAGGTAGAAATAACAGTATCTGCATCACTGATAAGATTTGCAGTGTCAGTTTGGCCATATTCTGCTAATGATGAGAGAAGCCAGGTTTTTTTTCAATTGTGGAAGGAACACTTTTTGTCACCTATTATATAATAAGTTAATTATTAAACAATCCTTCATTTTTTGTAACTTTCCAGGATCCAAGTATTTCCTCAAAAAAATACCAATCATAGGTCCAGTATATATTTTCTTCACATCACCAAAGAATTCCAAAATTCAGAAACTGAAAATCTGTTGCTCTGCCATCTCCTGAAATCAAAGAGACCCGTCATAACGAATACGACAATCACTTCCTTTAATACAGAACGGAAATTTTTAATCAGAATGCCGCTGGGCGTATGTAACTGCTCATAAAGATATTAAATAAAGATGCTTGTCTACACTACAATAGCGTGGCCAAGTCTCCTGATCCTAAAACAAGTCTCATATTAATAAACACATGTCAATAATGGCGCGTGCTTACTATTGTTTGTAACCCCCCTCTATTTCTCTTTTTTATTCTCTCTTATTTTCCCACACCAAAAAGCTATAGATCGAGTTTCACGCTACGGGTCAACAGGAATGATATCGTTATAAGCAAAATTCAAACATAGCCTAGTGTTACACGTTGTATAAAAGGGGCAGAAATATTGATAAGATAATCGTTTCGGATGATTTTAATAGGGAGGTCTTGAAGTGACTGACAGGCGAGGTCTGGCTTTCTTCCACGTGCCTGCTTTCGTCGCAAGCGATGGAACCTCCCCAATGACTAAAATTTCATTCGTTTGAATCCCTTGCCATGTGCTTAAACATTATTTTTGGATATAAGTTCATTGTTTTAAAGTTTGTAGACAAAATATGTAAACAATTTGGACGTTTGGAATCGTGTCTATCGTACTGGGACCAAATAACTTCGATGTATCTTTGATAACGGTATCAAATAAAATTACTTTAATAATATTTTCACAGATCTTTGAGATAGTTATTTTGATTTATTTTTCGTGGTAAAATTTTATTTCTTATGACATGCAAATAGTTGTATGATGTTTTTAAATCGCGTCCAAACAAACAGTTTACTTCTTTAACCTCAAGAGACATTATTAAAGACATGATTAATTACTTTATATTAAATTACAGGAATCTGAAACAAACACGAACCATTGTACAAATTGATAAAATATATCAAAATTAACAATGTAAAGTATAACGTTTCGTTAATTGCGACAGACCGCAGTTAATTTGACAATGTCATACCTTCTGGCAACCAATGGTTTTAACCGAGGCGAACCCAAGGAGTTGTCTATTTCTTGTGAATGGGAAAAAGTTTTTGTGTATATTTATATATAATGTATTCAGGAAAGTTGTATTAACGAGTAGATAATCCGCGTGAAGGTGCGTGTAATTCAGTGGACATTGTCCGGCGATTTTACGTCGAGGAACCAGGGAGATTACATTTCAGGAGTGAAATTAAGAATCCTGTTTTTTTATACAAAAGAATAGATTCGCGCCTTGAGGAGATTTGGTTGATAAATGGTACCTGTATCCGCTATCACGGTTACTTTTACACTGGACACTTCCCATAAAATGTCTCCTCCATCTCATTAAAATCTAATACTTATTTTATTAGTCATCTTAAGAAAATTATTTATTCTCCTTTACATAGATTGAGGAGAAAATTACAAGGAGAATTTGAATTCAACTGACAAAAATTACACATTGTTCAAGTAAAATAGTCACATACCGGAAACACTAGGTTATGGTTCTTGTCCCCTGCTCCTCTAGCGCCATCTATTGTTACCATGGATATAAGCATCTCCAACAGTGACATCTAGCAAGTGAAACGGTGATATGTCTAAAATATTGACAAAATGACGCACTTAAAAATTATCACCTTGTAAAAGTTCAACCCTTAACACTACTAAACTATCATTTGTCAAATAAAATCTATATCTGACCTAGGAGATAGAGAAGAGAGTCTATTTAGCAAGTGTGGGCGTTGCCGGAATACTCTCACACGTTATACGCTCTTCAAAGCCATTTTGGAGTGCTCGTACTAGCCCCGTATAATATGGGTCCTGACCTCAAATCAAAGATTGTTTATATAAATGTCTTATCGTCTACGCTTAGTCAACCCCGTGAACATCTCTGTTAAGTCTCAAATGTATTTCAATAATTTTCTATATAGAATGAAAAAATATAGGCATTATTCTTACCGTAACAATTTGAAAAATAATACATCTATTTAAATGAAAAATTTAAAAAATATATATATGTATTAAATGAAAATTAAAGTTTAGACGAGGACAATATATAATGACTTCGTAAATGTTTGAATGCTTTGATAAAGAAGATTTAACGAATATTATAGAAAACACAGATGAAATTTGTCATATATTCCAATTAACTGAGAATTAACATTAGTAGTTCACGTTACTCTCATATGGAGTAGCCACGTTGTCTACAGATCAACGGAACTCACAATCTGTAGCTAATTAACAAATCACGCCAAATGCCTGTCTCCTTCTCTTGACCAAATATGCCAGGTATTCACATATTCCTAGTACAATGGGCACTTCGCGAAAATTAGACAAATTGCGCATATTATAACACTCGAAACGTCTCCGCGTATCGTAAAAGTTACCACATGTCGTAAACATTTTTAATTGAGAGTTGTTTTGGTTATATAGTAGTACCGAGATTAATTTGTTGGGAAAAATTTCAGAGTGTTTATGACAACTAAGAACTGTCTTATAAATATATGATTAATTCAACGAAAATCTGCATTACCTTGTGAAATTGCGAACTTTATAAGCGAAACTACAAAGCATTAAAAAAAACGTAAAAAAAAAAAAAAAAAAAAAAAAAAAAAAAAAAAAAAAAAAAAAAAAAACCAACTTGAAAAATGCATATGTCTTATTTTTTCTTATTTTACTTTACAACTCGTAAATGCGCATATTTAAACTGGTTCAAGATTAAAATTCATTTCGCAAAAGATTCTATTTTCATTTCAATCTGCTCAGTATAATGTAAATTTTAAAAAAAAAATCTGGTTGACAATGTTAAAATTCACCTACACGATTTAAATCCATTTGATCAAGTAACTCATTCATAAATATGACGGGGCATTTACGTACATCGGGTATGCAAACACTCATAATACAGGTGTATCAGGCTGGAGCAGATCTAGAATTTTAGCAGAAATTTGAAAAAAAAGAAACACAGCATTGATTTTTAAAAATTTCTGGAAAAAACTATATTAATCCACAACATACTATAAAAGTGAGCAATGTTTATTGATACCTATTTACTTATGGTTTTCTAATCTTTTTTTTACGTAATATTTCATTTAAAATCAGTAAAATGTAATATGTAAAAATCTTTAAAACTCCGAAAGATTTAGTTATATTCCATTGTACGTACAACTCTCATACATATTATTCTAGATCAAATAAAAACTGGAATTTGCAAATCATCCTCCAATTAACTATGTATATGTATTGCATTGCAACTCTCCGTACTGGTGAAGTCTCTTTTGAACATTTTGCAATTTGTTGAATTCCAAGACAATTGTACATTCGCACTCATAGGAGAGCCTTCTGCAGACTAAACATAAAAAACTCGGCCGATTCTTTCTTCGAACAATGAAGCCCCTCCGCTATACAGCGCGATAAGCAAACACGTCTTGGTAAATCATTTTTCTTTACCTACCTTGCAGCGTCAATTCATCCGCTATATCCACAGCCACGGTCACAGTTTAAAATACTTTCATTACAAAATCTCAAAAGCCTTTTACTAAATCACTGAAATTGCAATCCACAGTAATAATCGAAGTCTATACAATGCTGAAATTGAGATATCATCCAAGACAATTTGTGTTTCATTAATGAGCTCTTCCAGTAAAATGTGTCAAGATTCGCTACGACATCTTTAAAGAGAATTAAACATTTCGAACTTCTCTCGAGAGATGAAAGTTTTAAAAGAATCAACATATGAGCTATATATATTAAAGTGTTAATCTCTCGTGGATGTAGTTCCTTATCTGTGGACAGATGCCAGCTACTTCGTCTCGCGTTCAACAGCTATTGTCTGCGAATAAGATAGTGCCATCAATACCGACTCAAAGTTCACCCTCCACGATAATCCCACGGATTACCGCTAATCGTGTCATCCAAAGAATATGTATCTCAGATATATATATGCAAAAAAATCCACACAGAGAATGCACATTTTTCAAGCTTAAATAGCCCTATGTACAATTTATTATGATGGATGCAATTTTTCCTGATGCATCGCGATATTTCTTTTTTTTCCCCACAAATAATTTGCATTAATTTGCAGAATTTCCTCGAAACTTTATCACTGCGATTATTCCGGATATGTTTTGCGCTATCTCACACTTTTTGAACTTCTTTACTATAATCCTTTAAATGTTGTTTAAAAACTCTCAAATCACGCCATAATAAGAGCAGAGAATAGGGAAGCATGCACTTAAACATTATAACTAACCAGAACAACCCCGGTACACATCTTCCCAAAAACAATACCTTAACTTTAAAGAGGGAGAACTCTCCTGTCCATTTGATGAATGAATGCGAACAATGCATCAAATTCGTAATATAAAATATGACAGATTGCTCTTAAAAGGCGTTCATTGTATGCATTACACACTTTAAACATTTTTTTATGGTGGAAAATAACATGATTTAATCTCATGCGTAAATCACGCACCTGTTACATTCAATATTTTACGTTTACCTTAAGTTTTGACAACCTTTGGTAAATCAGTTTCTTCTGGTTACATCGAATACTGGGTGGTCAGCGCAATTCCTATAATTTATTCAACCCAAGATTAAATGTCTGACTATCGAGATAATGCCCGATTTTGTTAAAAATGCTTCAAATAGATGAATATGGGGACTAGAAAATACACAAACGTGACCTTTTGTGACCCACTGACCCCGTCTAGCCGTGTTCGAATCGGGTCACTTGGTACACTTCACTATCAAAATACTGCAGAATTTAAGACCATGGAAATTTAAAAGACTGCAATTTAAACCGCGGGCCAAAAATCGACAGCTTCGTTTAATTGCAAAATTCAACACAATTTATATTAACCTAAAGTGTATGTATTTGAAAGATGGATCTGTTTATTTTGTTAAAAGAAAATAAAGAAACATGGCTATTTCCACGTGCCTTGAATCGGAGGGAATGCTGTTGGTTATATTTTATGTGTTTCAGATGGTGCAAACATGCTGCCAATATTGTTTCAAGGAAGCATTGACCTCGGGTTGGGGATTCTGGAAATCGTGTTTTTGGGGTCACGTGTGAACTTGTTTTACAGTGAAAAGAATTCATAAGTATTGTGTCAGAGAGGGTTTGACGAAATTTTTGCCTTTAATAAAAAAGGTTCATATCAGAAATATGACAGCATCTACTTGATTTGCTTCAAACATCATAAATTCAAAAACTGTCCAGGATCAAGTATATTGCACTATCTTTCTGCTGTTGATTGCATGCACTGAGACAACACAGTGACTGTTCTCGGAGATTTTTCAGTAGAGATATTTACATTCTCTTTGAAACAAATGTTTTAGAAATAAGAATTTTCGATCTTAAGTTAGAGACGGGAAAAAATGACGCGCTATCTGCTCAATGTCTTTTTTTTTCTCTGTAACTTTGGGTGGATTGGTGGTAACTGTGACTAGTCCTATATTTTGCCTTTATTGTCTACATTAGAATTCACACGTATTTTGATGTGGGGAACAGAAAAGGTTTTATGCGGAACTTTTTAATGTTGACCTTGAGAATAATCATCGACATTTTTACAATGAGTTTATTACAGAATCTTAATTGTAGCATAGGTAATACCCTGGGAATCATTTGTCCGTAACTCAGTACCAAACAACACCCCCAAAGTTTTTTAAAAATACAGCACGTTGATTATTGTATCCTTTGTAGTTGCTCCAGTAGACATGGACTTTGGATTTCATAAAACTTTTGAAAATGTCAGTATTGATTGTGGTTTATATACGGTTTATATACAAACAAAGCGATTGAACGGTGACGCGTACAGCAGTATGGTGGTCTTTTCTTGAATCAAAAGTGTCTAACTTAATGAAATTTGACAGACACAGTTGAAGATTTTAAATAACAAAAAACAAGCAAGAGAATGTCTGCTTTTTCACACTATTCAAACATTACGATATTAAAATTAGTAGTAAGTCATGAGGTGTTGACGTCACGCTTTCGCCATGGATATTGACATCATTTCCGGTTTCGATGGCTTACATTATTAATTCTATACGACTCTTTTATTTCTTTCAGTTACCTTTACCTGTTTGACAAGAAAAGGGCTTCATCTGGATGACGATGTTCAGCAATTTGTTACTTAAGAGTACAGCTATGATTTTTTGCACCCCTGTTTTACGAGAAGTAGTGATTTGTTTTGACAATGGAAAGAGATGAGAAATCTACACACATCTTGGCGATGAAAATAATGTTCTCTGTGGTCGATCACACACCTTGAAACATTTCCTAACGATGTTCAAACCCCGCTTAACATTGACGCGGTGATCTCTTGATCCTGCGACGCCCCCCATTCTCTAAAGAAAGACATAAAGAACAAAAATCCGACATTGCCTTGTCTTGTCGCATATCGGAAACAATGAAGACGAGCTGTTGCTGAACTGATTTTAGCAATAACGGATAAGTGTAGCCGATTTCCTCTAACGTAATAAATTGTCTGGTTACATCTTCATTATGCCGAGGCTTTGCTGTAGAGCTGTTTAACGTTTACTGATCCGCCATTACATCAATCTTAACTGAACGCACCAAGGTAGGTAATATTTACAGGGGTGTGTTCAGTGAGCGCCAGACAGATAGTAGACCTAATTTATATAAACCAGACTCTCTCTCTCTCTCGCCTCTCTCTCTCTCTCCATCAAATAAAAAGATTTGAATTACATTTTATCTCTTGACAAGAAAGGTCAAGGTAAATTCAAATAAGCTTCTCTTTTATATATACAATGTATATATATATATATATATATATATATATATATATATATATATATATATATATATATATATATATATATATATATATATATATATATATATATATATGGTTTTTTACATTCCACACATTAAATTCAAAATTTCAATATTTTAAAAAGAAGCGATTTTTAAAATTTTAATCAATTTCTGAAAGACCAGAAAATCAGCGTCTTCAACGGATGGGGTTTTAAGTGATGAACACAATATAATTTCTACAAAATAGAAAAAAGTTTGCTTCACTTCAAAGGTTATGAGTGTTTCATATGAAGTTAAGAACCTTGATAAAACTCTTCCAAGGATCTGGGTTTTGATTTTTCATATTATTTTTCACTTCATTTTGCATATGCCCAATGTTTCGCATAAACCCTGGTGACAATACTTAATCTACAGGGCAAAGTATCGATGTCGTTCTTTAAGGTATTACTACAACAAAATTCCATCTTTGAATAAGAATTTGGTCCGCACCACTTGCAGTCCTACAATGATCTAGAAATCAGCCATATTTGTTACTTTTTAACAGATTTTCTGCAGCCAAGTATAGAAAAAAAAACATTTATATTTGATCTCAGAGAGACACTGTCCAAGTTAAGGAAAGCGAAATCTTGTGGCTTTTGTCTATTATAAAACTGAGGTAAATGTCATGTTGCCCTTTTTTGATAGTTTAGGTATACAAACAAAAGCTCGGCCTTATTGCAATATTTTTTGTTCACACCTATCAAGTATCATTGCACAACCCGTCTATACGCATTCGATCATTTTGTTTGTTGAATTTGCCAGCTGAACTGACAGTAAATATATTTTTGATCGTAAATTAATTTCAATGCATACACCTGCCTGTACATAGGAAAAATCACGAGCCACGATTTTTATTGTTTTTTGAAAATTTATTAAATTCTTACATAGATTCTTTTTTTCCCCCTAAAAAATAAAACCAAGAAAGCCGACATTTCTCTGCAGCAGATAGCAATTAGATCCACATTAATTACGTTTTCCGTTTCTCTGCACTTTCACTAACATTTTATTGTTTTGAAATAATTAACCTTGTTCAGAAGCTGTACTATTTGGCAAGGATCGCAATGTTTCTCTGCGAGGTTTTCATTATCGACAATTAGGCCCTTTTGAACTCCCGTCAAAATATTTATTTGACAAAAGTGAATGGCCACAGTTATGCCTTATCCTGCAGAGTTTTCTGTTGTTTTCAGACACTTGTATTAATTAAATATATAGGTTTACATGTTCAGCGAGTAAATTCGGTAATATTCGGGCGAACTACAAGGTTGAATTAGATAATCGACGAATAATTCTTTGTTAAACATGAGATTAGAGTAAAAGAGTTATTTGGTATTCCTGTATCATTGAACTATGGCTGCTTGCTCTCATCCTAACGAAGAAAAAAAAAAACCCTAGGTCTTTTCTTCTTTTTAACTTTATCCACTACTTTTGAATGGAACGCCATAAAACTTACAGAAATGTATATGTTAACGGTTTTATATCCGTGATGCCATCAAAATTTCGTAAAAAGGGATTAAAATCCGCAGCTATTAGATTTATTTTCACATTAATACATGCATAAAATGTGTGCAATAAATAAGATTTTACCTGTAACTAAGTGCGACGATTTTACACGTGTTTCGAGCGAACTCTCTTTAAATCAATCAAATGGCCGTTAAGTACACGGCAATGCCATGTTATCTGATTAAACCATGATGCAGAAATAGACTATTTGGACTAAATTAAGATGCTAGTTTTTGTCTTTGGATTTTACAAGGTTGACAATTACATAACCCATTAAGGTAAAATGTTGCAGTTATCATCTAACAGGTGAAAATGAACATGTCAAGGGCAACAACTCTATTTAAACCATTGTCTTTGATCGTTTTAATTGTACGTGGATGTAGTGAACATTAATTAGAAACATGCTGTATTTTACTGAACTGTACAGCACCTGTCTGCGTAGGAATATAACACCTTGTAACGCACTATGAATAATGATATAGGGAATGTTTCTCACCTCAAAATATTCCTTGAAGTTTTCAAAGTTTTGCTTTTTCTTTGCATGAATAATGGATATCTCCTACAATCGAAAT